TACGATAACCAAGTGATCGTTCCTTTTGAACTCCTGACCGCCATTGCTTTTGTGAATTCAAGTCTTGTCTACAAGACTTGTCATGTAGATGGCTGATATATATTGAATCTAATGAAGCTAAAAGTCTTGGCAAGATGTGGAAATTTGGAGAATTGGGTGTTAGCTCTCATATCATCTTTGTGAATTCACTGTAGTTCAAAATTGAGGTCTGTCAACTTGCTTTAAATGCTAATGATCAGGCAAAGTAATTTTTGTTCATAAATAATGTTAATCCAAATGTACATTACAGATACATGATTGCACTTATAAATATTCCAGAAGTGCTTTTAGAATACGTGCAATTTAATACCTCTTCGGCTACCAGTTACTGACAATGTAATGTAACCATATTTTATACAAAAGTATTTTTTAAACAATATATAAGCATCATAAATGATTTTTGTACCTATTTTAGTTGTATTTCCCGTACTGTTAATTTTTATATCCTTCAAATTTATCTTCTGTAATTAAAGAATAAGTAATCCATTTTATATAACACCAAGTGAAATATTCACCATTAGAGTTATGCTAACCTGTGTTGTGGGACTAAATCAGCGTTTCTCAAACTGTGGGGCGCGCCCCTCTTGGGGGGCGTGACAACTCTACAAGGGAGCCGCGAGCTTATTAAAAAGTCGAGAACAAAAGATTATTTTAAAAATTATTAATTTACTGAAACTAAACAAACAAAATACATTCTGACATAATAAAAAATGAAGTACACATTTACACTGATATATTACACTTATAAATATATCAGTGCTACACAATGTATTTTATAGTTAATTTAACAATACTAAGTTTAAAAAAAGTTTATTAATTACCAGAGACCCCATGGGCTTGTCATATATATAATTTAAAACAAAAAATTAACACTTATCTTGATAATTTTCGTACGGTTTATAACTAAACCTTGGCTACCGGTCAAAAGTTTCGCGACTCGTTTCCGAACGCTAACCGTTTTCTACGTAGGCAAGCGTACGTGATGGGGGAGGAATAAAGAATAAAAAATAATCTGGAATAAGTAAATCCTTCACAAACATTGTCAAGATCCTTTTATTGCATTCCAAAATCTTCGGAATAATTTTGCGGATAGCAGTGCACAGAAAAGATCGTACTTCGAAAAGACGTATACATACGTCTGGAGAAATAAATGCTTTGGCTTAGAGAGATGTTTATATAGAGGGCGCTTAAAATGTTAAAGTCGTATTGTAGTTTTAGCGTCAAAGTATAGTAATATTGAATTCAGTACGTTGTTATTGTATGGGGGGGCGATGAAAATTATGATTGAATATTGTGGGTCACGAATATTGCAACTTTGAGAAGCACTGGACTAAATAGAGCTATCATCTCCATAGTTTGTTATATATCTGTATGAAGAGGATGAAAGCAGCTCCGTCTCTCATCACAAGATCTCCAGGACTATTAGACGTACCGACTGGAAGTGTGGCAAACATGAATCTTTTATCGATTAAAGATTTTCTAAGAACAGATTTTGCAAACAGAACATTTAGAAGTAAATTTAATGTTGGATTGAAACCATAAGACCAAAATTCAATTACCCCTTTTAGGTTTAAAAAATCTTTAATTAATTTTCAGAATGTGTATCATATATATTTAGTTGAGTATCCTATATTCTTAATTAAAATATCGCAGCAACATATCATGCAGCTGATAATTGCTTGCTCTTTTGTTGTTACATAATGTCCCAAAATGCATTTATAGGTTCTATTGTTTTTTTTAATTAAATCATTCTTTATACATTAGCAAAAGGAAAAATTTATGGAGTGTTATTAAGATGTAGTACTCTAATAGAAGGATCCGTTTTGATTCCGGATTATATCTGTATATTTGAGTAATCTGACATTTAGGATACTCTCAATTACCTGTACACATTCTACACTATCATTTGCATTACATTCATACGTAGCATACATGCATCGTATATCTTTATGTTAGTAAGATTAGTGATGCAACTTGGATGCAACTTCTTCCTGTTCTTCTATGATGTTTTTCACTAGCATTTCCAGATAAGGATATGTTGCTCTCATCAGAGAAAATAATCTGTTTGGATTGTTCATCTGTCCAATCAGTATATTTTTTAGCGAAATAAATTATTTTCTGATGTTGTGATAGATTGAAAAATATTTATTTTCTTGCAGTTCTAGCTCTAGGTCTAAATTTTGATAACCTTATTGAGTGTTCTAGAATTTATAAAAACATAAGCTTTTAAAATATTTTTTATGATTTTGGGTGACACATTCATACATATATATTTATATATATATATATATATTTATAATTTTCATATTTTAACAATTGTTTGGCACATTTTAGCCACAATCAGCTCTGTGCTATTAAATTCTACATTCACTCACTCTCTCATTCAGGTGACATTCTTTTGTATCTATCAAGAATATTATTTTCTCCTTTCATCAGCAGCGTTTGTTCCATTTTTCCTTCCTTATTTTATTTATTCTTTATAAAATTTATTTACTTACAGAGTAAACATGTTTTATATACTTCAGCAGTCATATTTCTATGCATACTTTCCTTGAAATTTCAGCGTATGAAACATTTTTCAGCAATACAGCAATCCTAGGTTTTTTTGTATGCACTCTGTTTTTTTTGAGGGGGGGGGGGTATTTTCATTGTTCAATTATTTATAATTTTAATGCACACAACATTCAACAAAGTTGCCAAAGCCAACATGCCAATTGACATTGCACACAAAATTTATTTTTGTCTTCATATTTTATGCTTTAAAAATACATTTTAACTGTATATCAAAAATTGATTTCATATTTATACTTTACTGCACAAATTGTAAAGATCTCTCATTAAAATGAGCAAAATGTACTATTTTACAAGAAATCAAAAAAGTTCTAGAAAAATATTCATTAACCTTTAGGACAGATTAACTTTAAGTTTGTACACTTAAGACCCTATTTTCGATTGATTTCTTAATTTTGAGTCATGGTCAAGTGATGACAATGACCTAAAATGGTATCTCATCATCTCTTACTGTGCTAATTGCTTCACTATGGCCCCCTGAGGGGATCCCCTTCTTTAGGTGGGTACGGGTGTCACAATCCCGAGGTACCCTAGTGATCTTTTCCTTTTCCCAAGGGGTTTACTATCTTTGGTAAACACGGGTGTCACGACCCCGGGGTACCCCAGTGATCCTTCTCTGTTTTCGACCCTCCATCTTGTTATACAATTTCTCCTTTTCTTCTTTTCCCGTCCAGACCATAGACCTATGAATGTTTGGCGCAGTATAGCCAAAACTGGCTCTTGTGCCATAAAACACCAAACTCACTCACTCACTCACTCCTCACTATGGCGAGTGAGGCTCCATTCCTAAATTGATAGAATTAAGAATATTTTATGTAAAATATTCATATTTCTCTTTTCTTAATTCGATTTTAAATAATGGTCTTTAATACATTATACCTTTCAAACAAAATTAAATATTTTCTTAATGTGTGCTTGACCAACATTCATAAAATTGGAGGTTGTCTTTAAAACTTATGAAAACAGTTCTGCATCTGAAAATGCTTTCTCCACAGTTGAAAATCACAGAGTAAAAGTTTTCCACATTGTGAACATTTTAATTTTTATGTGATCAGAAATAATTAATACTTTTGAAAATTTTAAATGAATCTGGTTTTTTAATGACTCTTATCCATTCTGCGTTTAACTCGTAAAATGCGATATAAATGTGTAGTAATTAAAATGCATTTAAGTAATGACAGTATTTACTGCATTTTATAAAATAAATCAGTACATTTTTGTTATTAAGACTCCAGTATAAATAAATTTATGTTAAATTTTCCTCAACAATTTATTGAAAAACCCTATATGTGAGTGTATGTTTGTATGTGCATGTATGTTTGTGAGTGTATGCTTGTATGTGCGTGTATATTTGAGTCTGTAGGTAAGTGTGTTATATTTCTCACAGGCTACTGATTTAAGATATACATATTTATATGTGTGAAAATCTTTCAATAGATATTAAAATACACAATGTTAATATTTATCGAAATTAAAATATAACATCTTAAAATACGCATAGCTTTTACTTTCGTCGGCCAGAGGCGCAATGGATAACGCGCCAAACTACGGAGCAGGAGATTCCAGGTTCGAATCATGGCTGACTCAGAACCTTTGAAATTCTTCCGCGTTTAACTATTTTTTCAAAATCTCACAACTTCCAACTTAAAATTAGCGAAAAAAATATTGAAGGTCTTTACACAAATATAGTTTTCGTGTAACGGTTCAATCTAAGGGATCTAACGCGCCTCCGATATCGTATCAGGCCATTTCAGATTAAAATCCTGTGGCTGGCTCAATATATTTCAAAGACATTTCAGTTCTCTAAAAAATATTAATATCTTAAAGTACTCAGAGATTTCATTTACGTGGGCTAGTGGCGCAGAGGATAATGTGTTTGACTGCGGTTCAGTTTTGAATCCTGGCAGGCTCGGTGCTTCGGTGGGTGTTCATCGGTTTCAATTTTACACCAAATTCTGAATTGTAAGCTTAGACACAATTTCTCCTAAAAATATAGAATCTTTAAATACGTATAGCTTTTTTCTTTCATGTGCCAGTGGCGCAACGGATAACGCGCCTGACTACGGATCAGGAGATTCCAGGTTCGAATCCTGGCCGGCTCGGTGCTTCAGTGGGTGTTCATCGGTTTCAATTTTACACAGAATTTAGAATTTTAAACTTACACAATTTATCCTAAAAATATAAAATCTTTAAATACGTATAGCTTTTCCTTGCATGGGCCAGTGGCGCAACGGATAACGCGCCTGACTACGGATCAGTGGATTCCAGGTTCGAATCCTGGCTGTTTCGGTGGGTGTTCTTCATTTTTAATTTATAACGCAATTCAAAATTTAAAAGTTACAATTTCTCCTAAAAAATATAGAATATTTAAATAAGTATAGCATTTTCTTGCACCGGCCAGTGGCGACGCGGATAACGCGCCTGACTACGGATCAGGAGATGCCAGGTTCGAATCTTAGATGACTCGGTGCTTCAGTGGGTGTTCATCGGTTTCAATATACACCGAATTCTGAATATTTTAAACGGGCCAGTGGTGCAACGGATAACGCGCCTGACTAAGGATCAGGAGATTCCAGGCTCGAATTCTGGCTGGCTCGGTGCTTCATTGGGGTTCATTTTTAATTTTTAACGAAATTCGAATTTAAAACTTACATTTTCTCCTAAAAAATGTAGAATATTTAGATACGTATAGCTTTTAATGCATGGGCCAGTGGCACAACGGATAACTCGTCTGACTACGGATCAGGAGTTTCCCCAGGTTCGAATCCGGCTGACTCGGTGCTTCCCCGGGGTTTTTTTTAATTTTTTAATTTTAATGAAATTCAAATTTAAAACTTACCACAATTTCTCCAAAAAATATAGAATCTTTAAATACGTATGTTTTTTTTGCATGGGCCATAGGCACAACGAATAACGCGCCTGACTACGGATCAGGAGATTTCAGGTTCGAATTCTGGCTGGCTCGGTTCTTTTTTAATTTTTAACGAAATTTAAAATTTATATATTTCTCCAAAAAATATAGAATCTTTAAATACGTATACCTTTTTTCCTTTACTTTGGGCAGGGGGCTGCAGTAGCCCAGTGGTTAGGTATCGGACCGTGGTTGCCTTGTCCGAGTTCGACCCCAGTACCACTAAAGACCGCCGGGGGGCAGCGATGCACGTTAAATCTGTCGGAGGAAACTCCCCCCGGGTGGTGGGTGTGGGTTGGGAGAGGGGTGGCTCAGGTGTCGCCCCGCCCCCGACCATGGCAAAATTCGGGGCCCGACGCCAAAACCCTGTTTGCTGAACAGTGCGACGTTAATTTATCACTCACTACTACATGGGTCGTGGCGCAACGGAAAACGCGCCTGACGATGGATCAGGAGATTCCAGGTTCGAATCTTGGCTCTCTCGGTGCTTCGGTGGATGTTTTTCATTTTTAATTTTTAATGAAATTCAGAATTTAAAATTTACACAAAATTTCTCCTAAAAATATAGAATCTCTAAATACGTATAGCTTTTTCTGGCGTGGGCCACACACACACACACACAGTGGCGCAACGAATAACGCGCCTGACTACGGATCAGAAGATTCCAGGTTTGGATCTCGGCTGGCTCGGTGCTTTGATGCGTGTTCATCGGTTTCAATTTTACACCAAATTCTGAATTTTAAACTTACAATTTCTCCTAAATTTATAGAATAATTAAATAAGGTATAAGCTATTTCTTAAGGGGCCAGTGGCGCAACGGATAACGCGCCTGACTACGGATCAGGAGATTCCCAGTTCGAATTCTGGTTGGCTCGGTGCTTCGTCGGGGTTCTTTTTTAATTTTTAACCAAATTCAAAATTTAAAATTTATATATATAATTTCTCCAAAAAATATAGAATCTTTAAATACGTATCTCCCTTTTTCTTGCATGGGCCAGTGGCGCAACGAATAACGCGCCTGACTACGGATCAGGAGTTTCCAGGTTCGAATTCTGGCAGGCTCAGTGCTACGTCGGGTTTCTTTTATAATTTTTAACGAAATTCCAAATTTAAATATTATATATATAATTTCTCCAAGAAATATAGAATCTTTAAATACGTATAGGTTTTTTGCGTGGGCAAGTGGCGCTATGGATGACGCGCCTGACTACGGATCAGAAGATTCCGGGTTCGAATCCTGGCTGGCTCGGTGCTTCGCGGGGTGTTTTTAGTTTTTAATTTTCAATGAAATTCAGAATTTAAAATTTACACAATTTCTCCTAAAAATATAGAATCTTTAAATACGTATAGCTTTTTCTTGCGTGGACCATAGGCGCAACGGAAACGCGCCTGACTACGGTTCAGGAGATTTCTGGTTCGAATTCTGGCTGGCTCAGTGCTTCGTCGGGTTTCTTTTATAATTTTTAACGAAATTCCAAATTTAAATATTATATATATAATTTCTCCAAGAAATATAGAATCTTTAAATACGTATAGGTTTTTTTTTTTGCGTGGGCAAGTGGCGCTACGGATAACGCGCCTGACTACGGATCAGAAGATTGCAGGTTCGAATCCTGGCTGGCTCGGTACTTCGATGCGTGATCATCGGTTTCAATTTTGCACCGAATTCTGAATTTTAAACTTACAATTTCTCCTAAATTATAGTATATTTAAATACGTATAGCTTTTTCTTACATGTTAGTGGCGCAAAAATAACGCTCCTGACTACGGATCAGGAGGCTCCCGGTTCGAATACTGGCTGGCTCTCGGTGCTTCGTCGGATTTTCTTAAATGTTTAACGAAATTCAAAATTTAAAATTTATATAATTTCTCCAAAAAATATAGAAGTTTTAAATACGAAAAACATTTTCTTGCATGGGCCAGTTACGCAACGGATGACGCGTCTGACTACGGATAAGGAGATTCCAGGTTCGAATCATGGCCTGATCGGTGCTTCGGTGGGTGTTTTTAATTCTCTACGAAATTCAGAAATTAAAACTTACACACAATTTCTCCTAAAAATATAGAATATTTAAATACATATAGGTTTTTCTTGCATGGGTCAGTGGCGCAACTTATAACGCGCCTGACCAAGGATCAGGAGATTCCTTGTTCGAATCCTGGAAACTTCGGTGGGTGTTTTTAATTTTTAACGAATTCGGAATTTAAAATTTATATATATAATTTCTCCAAAAAATATAGAATCTTTAAATACGTATACCTTTTTCTTGCATGGGCAAGTGGCGCAACGGAAAACGCGCCTGACTACGGATCAAGAGATTCCAGGTTCGAATCCTGGCTGGCACGGTGCTTCTGTGGGTGTTTTTAATTTTTAACGAAATTCAGAATTTTTTTAAAGTTCACACACACACAATTTCTCCTAAAAATATAGAATCTTTAAATACGTATACCTCTTTTTTTTGCATGGGAAAGAGGCGCAACGGATAACGCGCCTGACTTCGGATCAGGAGATTCCAGGTTCGAATCCTGGCTGTCTTGGTGCTTCGAATGCGTGTTCATCGGTTTCAACTTTACACCAATTTCTGAATTTTAAATTTACAATTTCTATTAAAATTAGAGAATATTTAAATAAGTATAGCTTTCTCTTTGCATGGGACAGTGGCGAAACGGATAACGCGCCTGACTACGAATCAGGAGTTTCCAGGTTCAAAACCTGGCTGCCTCGATACTTCGTTGGTTTTTCTTTTTCAAATTTTAATGAAATTCAGAATTTAAAACTTACAAATTCTAATAAAAATATACTACAATTAAATACGTGTAGCTTTTTCTTACCTGGGCCAGTGGCGCAACGGATAACGTGCCTGATTACGGATCAGGAGATTCCAGGTTCGAATCCTGGCTGTCTTGGTGCTTCGAATGCGTGTTCATCGGTTTCAATTTTACTCTGAATTTTAAACTTACAATTTCTCCTAAAATTATAGAATATTTAAATAAGTATAGCTTTTTCTTGCAAGGGCCAGTGGCGCAACGGATAACGCGCCTGACTGCGGATCAGGAGATTCCATGTTCGAATACTGGCTATCACGGTGGGTGTTCTTAAATTTTAATGAAATTCAGAATTTAAAACTTACCTGCACAATTTCTCCTAAAAATTTAGAATCTTTAAATACGTATAACTTTTTCTTGCAAGGGCCATAGGCGCAACGGATAACGCGCTTGACTACGGTTCAGGAGATTTCAGGTTCGAATTCTGGCTGGTTCATTGCTTAGTCGGGGTTCTTTTTTAATTTTTAACGAAATTCAAAATTTAAAATTTATATATAATTTCTCCAAAAAATATAGAATTTTTAAATACGTATACCTTTTTCTGCATGGGCCAGTGGCGCAACGGAAAACGCGTCTGACTACGGATAAGGAGATTCCAAGTTCAAATCCTAGCTATCTCGGTGCTTCGGTGGGTATTTTTAATTTTCTACGAAATTCAGAAATTAAAACTTACAATTTCTCCTAAAATAATTGAATATTTCAATGCATATAGCTTTTTCTTGCATGGGCCAGTGGCGTAACGGATAACGCGCCTGACTACGGATCAGGAGATTCCATGTTCGAAGCGTCGATGCTTCGGTGGGTGTTTTTAATTTTTAAAACTTACAATTTCTCCTAAAAATATAGATTCTTTAAATACGTATAACTTTTTCATGCATGGGCCAGTGGCGCAACGGATAACGCGCCTGTCTACGGATTAAAAGATTCCAGGTTCGACACCTGGCTGGCTCGGTGCTTCGGTGGATTTTTTAATTTTTAACGAAATTCGGAATTTTTTTAAAACTTACAATTTCTTCTAAAAATATACATTCTTTAAATACGTATATCTTGGTCATGCATGGGCCAGTGGCGCAACGGATAACGCGCCTGACTACGGATCAGGAGATTCCAGGTTCGAATCCTGGCTGGCTCGATGCGTCTTAATCGGTTTCAATTTTGCACGAATTCTGAATTTTAAACTTACAATTTCTCCTAAAATTATAGAATATTTAAATAAGTATAGCTTTTTCTTGATTGGGCCAGTGGCGCAACGAATAACACGCCTGACTACAGTTTAGGAGATTCCCGGTTCGAATCCTGGCTGGCTCGGTGCTTCGATGCGTGATGATCGGTTTCAATTTTGCACCGAATTCTGAAATTTAAACATACAATTTCTCCTAAAATGATAGAATATTTAAATAGGTATAGCGTTTTCTTACATGTGCTAGTGGCGCTAAGAATAACGCGCCTGACTACGGATCAGGAGATTCCCGGTTCGAATCCTGGGTGGCTCGGTGCTTCGCGGGGTGTTTCTCATTTTTAATTTTTAATGAAATTCAAAATTTAAAATTTATATATAATTTCTCCAAAAAATATAGAATCTTTAAATATGTATAACTTAATATAGGATGGGCCAGTGGCGAAACGGATGACGCGTCTCACTATGGATAAGGAGATTCCAGGTTCGAATCCTGGCTGGCTCGGTGCTTCAGTGGATGTTTTCAATTTTTAACGAAATTCAGAATTTTTAAAACTTACACAATTTCTCCTAAAAATATAGATTCTTTAAATACGTATAGCTTTTCTTGCATGGGCCAGTGGCAAAACGGATAACGGGCCTGATTACGGATCAGGAGATTCCAGGTTTGAATCGTGGCTGGCTCGTTGCTTCGGTGGATGTTTTTAATTTTTAACCAAATTCAAAATTTAAAATTTATATATATAATTTCTCCAAAAAATATAGAATCTTTAAATACACGTATACCCCATTTTCTTGCATGGGCCAGTGGCGCAACGAATAACGCACCTGACTACGGATCAGGAGTCTCCTGGTTTGATTCCTGGCTGGCGCGGTGCTTCGATGCGTGTTCATCGGTTTTAATTTTACACCGAATTCTGAATTTTAAACTTTTAATTTCTCCTAAAATTATAGAATATTTAAATAAGAAAACTTTTTCTTGCATGGGCCAATAGCATATGAGATAACGCCTGACTACGGATCAGGAGTTTCCCGGTTCGAATCCTGGCTGCCTCGGTGCTTCGCGGGTTGTTTTTCATTTTTAATTTTTAATGAAATTTACAATTTAAAACTTACACAATTTCTACTAAAAATATAGAATCTTTAAATACGTATAGCTTTTTCTTGCATGGACCACATAGGCGCAACGGATAACGCGCCTGACTACGGATCAGGAGATTTCGGGTTCGAATTCTGGCTGGCTCAGTGCTACACGTCGGGGTTCTTTTTATAATTTTTAACGAAATTCAAATTTAAATATTATATATATAATTTCTCCAAAAATATAGAATCATTAAATACGTATATGCTCTTTTTTGCGTGGGCAAGTGGCGCTACGGATAACGCGCCTGACTACGGATCAGGAGATTCCAGGTTCGAATCCTGGCTGGCTCGGTGCTTCGCGGGGTGTTTTTAATTTTAATGAAATTCAGAATTTAAAACTTATAAATTCTAATAAAAATATAGTACAATTAAATACGTATAGCTTTTTCTTTTCTGGGCCAGTGGCGCAACGGAAAACGTGCCAGACTACGGATTAGGAGATTCCAGGTTCGAATCTGGCACAGCTCGGTAACTCGGTATTATTGTTTTTAATTTTCAACGAAATTCAGAATTTTTAAAACTTACATTTTCTCCCCTAAACATGTAGAATATTTAAATACGTATAGCGTTTTTTCTTACACACATTGGCCTGTTGCGCAACGGATAACGCGCATGACTATGGATCAGGAGTTTCCAGGTTCGAATCCTGGCTGGATCGGTGCTTCGGTGGGTGCTTTTCATTTTTAACGAATTTCGGAATTTTTAAAACTTACTATTTTTCCCAAAAATATAGATTCTTTAAATACGTATAGCTTTTTCTTGTGCATGGGCCAGTGCCGCAAATGTTAGCGTGCTGACTGGATCTGGAATTCAGGTTCACAGAGATCCTGGCTTGCTCGGTGCTTCGCGGGTTGTTTTTCATTTTTTAAATTTTTAATGAAATTCAGAATTTAAAACTTACACAATTTCTCCTAAAAGTATAGATTCTTTAAATACGTATAGCTTTTTCTTGTGCATGGGCCAGTGCCGCAAATGTTAGCGTGCCTGACTATGGATCAGGAGTTTCTAGGTTCGAATCCTGGCTGGCTCGGTGCTTCGTGGGGTGTTTTTCATTTTATACGAAATTTTCAGAATTTAAAACTTAAACACAATTTCTCCTAAAAATATAGAATCTTTAAATACGTATAAGTTTTTATTGCTTGGGATAGTCCCGGAACGGATAACGCGCTTGGCTACGGATCAGGAGATTCCAGGTTCGAATCCTGAAGCTTCGATGCGTGGTCATCGGTTTCAATTTTGCACCGCATTCTTAATTTTAAACTTACAATTTCTCCTAAAATTATAGAATATTTAAATACGTATAGCTTTTTCTTACATGTGCTAGCGGCGCAAAAAATAACGCTCCTGACTACATATCAGGAGACTACCGTTTCGAATACTGGCTGGCTCGAGGTGCTTCGTCGGGATTTCTTAAATTTTTAACGAAATTCAAAATTTAAAATTTATATAATTTCTCCAAAAAATATAGAATCTTTAAATACGTATATCCCTTTTATTTGCATGGGCCAGTGGCGCATAGGATAACGCGCCTGTCTATGGATCAGGAGATTCCAGGTTCGAATCCTGGCTGGCTCGGTGTTCTTCGTTGGATGTTTTGCTTGTTCTTTTAACGAAATTCAGAATTTAAAACTTACAAATTCTCCTAAAAATATAGTACAATTAAATACGTATAGCTTTTTCTTCAATGGGCCCGTGGAGCAACAGATAAAACGCCTGACTACGGATCTGGATATTCCAGGTTCGAATCCTGGCTGGCTCGGTGCTTCGAATGCGGGTTCTTCGGTTCAAATTTTACATCAAATTCTGAATTTTAAACTTAAAATTTCTCCTAAAATTATAGAATATTTAAATAAGTATAGCTTATTCTTGCAAGGGCCAGTGGCGCAACGGATAACGCGCCTGACTACGGTTATGGAGATTTCAAGTTCGAATTCTGGCTGGCTCGGTGCTCCGTCGGGGTTCTTTTTTTAATTTTTAACGAAATTCAAAATTTAAAATTTATATATAATATCTCCAAAAATATAGAATTTTTAAATACGTATACCTTTGTCTTGCAGGGGCCAGTGGCTCAACCGAAAACGCGAATGACTCTGGATCAGGAGATTCCAGGTTCGAATACTGGCTGGCTCGGTGCTTCGTTGGATGTTTTTATTCTTTAACGAAATTCAGAATTTAAAACTTACATTTTCTCCTAAAATGTTGAATATTTTAAATACGTATAGCTTTAACTTGCATGGGTCAGTGGCGCAACGGATAACGCGCCTGACTGCGGATCAGAAGATTCCAGGTTCGAATCCTAGTTGGCTCGGTGCTGCTTCCGGTGGGTGTTTTAATTTTACGAAATTCAGAATTTTTAAAACGTACACAATTTCTCCTAAAAATATAGATTCTTTAAATACATGTATAGATTTTTCTTGCATGGGCCTGTGGCGCAACATTTAACGCGCATGACTACGGATCAGCAGATTCCAGGTTCAAATCCTGGCTGCTTTCAAATTTCACTTGTTTGGTTGTTTTCTTTTTTTTAAATTTTTAATGAAATTCAGAATTTAAAACTTTCAAATTCTCCTAAAAATATAGTACAATTAAATACGTGTAGCTTTTTCTTTCCTGGGCCAGTGGCGCAGCGGATAACGCGCCTGACTACGGATCAGGAGATTCCAGGTTCGAATCCTTTCTGGCTCGAGGCATCGAATGCGTGATAATCGGTTTCAAATTTACACCGAATTCCGAATTTTAAACTTACAATTTCTCCTAAAATTATAGAATATTTAAATAAGTATAGCTTTTTCTTGCAAGGGCCAGTGGCGCAACGGATAATGCGCCTGACTACGGATTTGGAGAATCCAGGTTCGAATACTGGCTGGCTTGGTGCTTCAGTGGGTGTTTTTAATTTTTAACGAGATTCAGAATTTAAAACTTACAATTTCTCCTAAAATTATAGAATATTTAAATACGTATAGCTTTTACTTGCATGGGCTAGTATCGCAAAGTATAACGCTCCTGACTACGGTTCAGGAGATTTCAGATTCGAATTCTGGCTGGCTCCGTGTTTCGGTGGGTGTTTTCAATTTTTAACGAAATTCAGAATTTTAAAACATTGTCTCCTAAAAATGTAGAATATTTAAATACATATAGCTTTTTCTTGCATAGGGCGGTTGCGCAACGGATAACACGCCTGACTACCGATCTGGAGATTCCAGGTTCGGAACCTGGCTGGCTCGGTGCTTCGGTGGGTGTATTTAATTTTTAACGAAATTCAGAATTTTTTTAAAACTTACACACAATTTCTCCTAAAGATATAGAATCTTTAAATACCTATAGTTTTTTCTCTTGCATGGGCCATAGGCGCAACGGATAACGCGCCCACTACGGTTCTAAAGATTTCAGGTTCGAATTCTAGCTGGCTCGGTGTTTCGTCGTGGTTCTTTTTTAATTTTTAACGAAATTCAAAATTTAAAATTTATATATAATTTCTCCAAAAAATTTAGAATCTTCAAATACGTATACTGTTTCTTGCATGGGCCAGTGGCTCAACGGAAAACGCGCCTGACTATGGATCAGGAGATTCCAGGTTCGAATCCTGGCTGGTTCGGTGCTTCGGTGGATGTTTTTAATTTTTAACGAATTTCGGAATTTTTAAAACTTACTATTTGTTCCAAAAATATAGATTCTTTAAATACGTATAGCTTTTTCTTGTGCATGGGCCAGTGCCGCAAATGTTAACGCGCCTGACTACGGATCTGGAGATTCCAGGTTCGAATCCTGGCTTGCTCGGTGCTTCGGGGGTTGTTTTTAATTTTTAATTTTTAATGAAATTCAGAATTTAAAACTTACACAATTTCTCCTAAAAGTATAAGTCTTTAAATACGTATAGAGCTTTTCTTCCCTAGATTACGATAGACAACACGCACTGATGATTATGCATTAGGAGATTCCAGGTTCGATTCTGTGGCTCGGTGTAGCTGGAATGCGTGTTCATCGGTTTTCAATTTTACAACGAATTCTGAATTTTAAACACATTTTACTCTTTAAGAATTATAAGTCTTTAAAAAGTATAGCTTTTTCTAGCATGGGCAAGTGGCCCAACGGATAACGCGCCTGTCTACGGATCAGGAGATTCCAGGTTCGAATCCTGGCTGGCTCGGTGCTTCGCGGGGTGTTTTTAATTTTTAATGAAATTCAGAATTTAAAACTTACACAGTTTCTCCTAAAAATATAGATTCTTTAAATACGTATAGCCTTTTCTTACATGGGCTAGTGGCACAATGGATAACGCGCCTGACTACGGATCAAGAGATTCCAGGTTCGAATTCTAGCTGGCTCGGTGCTTCGGTGGGTGTTTTTAATTTTTAACGAAATTCAGAATTTTTTTAAAACTTACACAATTTCTCCTAAAAAATATAGAATTTTTAAATACGTTTAATTTTTTTTTTTTTTTTTGGATGAACCCAGTGGCGCAAGGATAACGCGCCTGACTACGGATCAGGAGATTCCAGGTTCAAATTTGGGTGGTTCGGTGCTTCGGGGTTGTTCTTCATTTTAAATTTAACGAGATTCAAATTTAAAATTTAACAATTTCCCCTTTTAAAAATATAGAATTTTAAAACGTATCTTTTTTTCCCCTTTGGGCCAGTGGGGCAATGGATAACGCCCTGACTACGGAGGGGGAGATTTTGGTTTTAAATTTCCTGGTTCTTTGCTTGGGTGGGTGTTTTTTCTTTTTTAATTTTAACGAAATTCAAATTTAAAATTTTACAATTTTTTCTAAAAATATAGAATTTTTAAAACTAAAAAGCTTTTTACTTGTTTTGGGCCAGTGGCGCGGGGGGATAACGCCCCAATACGGACCCGGGAAATTTTCCCAAGGTTCAACCCCGGCTGGCTCGGGTTTGGGGGGTTTTTATTTTTTTTAAAATTCAGTTTTTAAAAACTTACAATTTTTCCAAAAATATAGAATTTTTAAAAAACTTATAGTTTTTAAATTGCATGGGCCATGGCGCAACGGATAACGCGCCTAAACTCCCGGAAACAGGAGTTTCCCGGTTTGAATCCTGGGCTGGCCCCGGTTTCGGTGGGGTTTTTTTTTTTTAATTTTAAGGGTTTTGGGGGAATTTAAAATTTTACAATTTCTAAAATATAAAATTTTTTAAAAAACTTATAGCTTTTTTTTTGCATGGGCCAGTGGCGCAAGGATAACGCCTGACCGGATCGGGAGTTTTCCGGGTTTCCGAATCCTGGCTGGTTTCGGTCTTCGGGGGGTGTTTTTTTTAAATTTTAAGGAAATTCAGAATTTAAAACTTAAAATTTTTCCCCAAAAAATATAGAATTTTAAAATACTATAGTTTTTAAATTGCGGGCCATTTGGGGCAATGGATAACGCCCTGATTTACGGATCAGGGTTTCCCAGGTTGAATTTGGGCTGGTTTCCTTGTTTCTTTTGGGTGTTCTTCTTTTTTAAATTTTTTTAAAAAAATTTAAATTTAAAACTTACAATTTCCCCTAAAAATATGAATTTTTAAATACTAAAAAGGCTTTTTTTTGCATGGGCCAGTGGGGCAATGGATAAGGGCGCCTGACTACGGATCAGGGTTTCCCAGGTTCAAAACCTTGGCTGGCTGGGGTGTTTTGGGGAAAGGTTTTCTTTTTTTAATTTTTTAAAAAATTTTTAGAATTTAAAACTTAAATTTCCAAAAAATATAGAATCTTTAAAAACGTATTTTCGGCATGGGCCGGTGGGCGGATAACGCGCCTGCCCTACGGATCGGGAGTTTCCCAGGTTCGAATCCTGGCTGTCCGGTTCGGTGGGGTTCTTTTTTTTTTTAAATTTTTAACAATTCAAATTTAAAACTTAAAATTTTCCCCCAAAATTAAAAAATCTTTAAAACATATTTTTTATTTGCGGGCCAGTGGCGAAACGGAAAAGCGCCTGACTACGGACCCAGGAGATTTGGGGTTTTAAATTTGGGCCCTTTTTGCTTCGGTGTTTTTCCTTCTTTTTAAATTTTTTAAAAATTCAAAATTTAAAACTTACAATTTCCCCTAAAAAAAATTAAAATTTTTTAAAACTATAGTTTTTTAATTGCGGGGGCCAGTGGGGCAATGGAAAACCCTTGACACGGATCAGGAGATTAGGTTCAAACCCGGGCCCCTTTTTGGGGGTTTTGGGGGGTGTTCTTCTTTTTTTTAACAAATTTTTAAAATTTTAAAAATTTTAAAATTTTTTCCCCAAAAATTAAAAGGTTTAAAAAACTTAAAAGCTTTTAATTTGCAGGGGCCCCGGTGGCGCAAGGGATAACGCCCCCCGGATAAAAAAATTTCCCAGGTTCGAATCCTGGCGGGCCTCGGGGGCTTGGGTGGGTTTTAAATTATTTTTTTTTGGATTCAAAATTTTAAAAACCCACAATTTCCCCTAAAAATATGGGAATTTTAAAAAACGTATAGCTTTTTACTTGCGGGGGCCAGTGGCGAATAAGGTCCCGCCTGATTTCGGACCCAGGGATTCCAGGTTCAACCCTTGGCTTTTTTCCGGGTTTTTTCGGTGTTTTCCCCTTTTTTTTTAAATTTTTTTAAAAAATTTTTAAATTTTAAAAACTTACAATTTTTTCCAAAAAATATAGAATTTTTTAAAAACTTATAGTTTTTCCCTTGAGGGGCCAGTGGGGCAAGGATAACGCGCCTGACAGGGGATCGGGAGATTCCAGGTTCGAATCCTGGCTGGCTCCGGTGTTTTGGTGGGTTTTTATTTTAATTTTTAAACAATTCGGGAATTTAAAACTTACAATTTTCAAAAAAATATAGAATTTTTAAAACCCCCAAAATTTTTAAATTTGTATGGGCCTTTGGCGCAACGGATAACGCGCCTGCCCTACGGATAAAGGAGATTCAGGTTTAAATTTCCGGCTGGTTTGGGCTTTGGGTGGGGTTCTTTTTTTTTAAATTTTTTAACGAAATTCAAAATTTTAAAAACACAATTTCTCTAAAATATAGAATTTTTAAAACTTATGGTTTTTAAATTGCAGGGGCCCATGGCGCACGGGATAACGCGCCTGACTGGATCAGGAGATTCCGGGGTTCAATCCTGGCGGGCCTTAGTTTCGGTGGGGGTTCTTTATTTTTAATTTTTAACGAGATTCAAATTTAAAAACCCCAACAATTTTTTCCAAAAAATATAGAATTTTAAAAAAAAAATAGTTTTTAAATTGCATGGGGCCAGTGGGGCAAGGATAACGCGCCTGACTACGGATCGGGAGATTCCAGGTTCGAACCCTGGTTTGGCTCGGGTTGGGCGGGTTGTTCTTCTTTTATTTTAAAACGAAATTCAAAATTTTAAAAATTTACAATTTCTCAAAAAATATAGAATTTTAAAAACTATAGCTTTATTCGGGCCAGTGGGCAAGGGAAAGGGCCTGACTAGGATCAGAGATTAGGTTCGAATTTGGCTCCGGGTTTCGGTGGTGTTCTTCTTTTTTAATTTTAACGAAACGAATTAAAACTAAAATTTTTCCCAAAAAATAAAATTTTTAAAACAAAGCTTTTACTTGCATGGGCCGTGGCGCAAATGTAACCCCTGCTCGCGGGAATTAAGGTTCGAAAACCTCTGTTTGGTCTTGGTGGGTTTTTTTTAAAATTTTAACGGTTAAAATTTTAAAAACAAAATTTCCTAAAAATATAGAATTTTAAAACGTATAGCTTTTTTTTGATGGGCCAGTGGGAAAAGGATAACCGCCTGACAGGGATCAGGAATTGGTTCGAATTGGCTGGCTCTGCTTCTGGGTGTTCTTCTTTTTAAAATTTTTAACGTTTTTTAAAATTTAAAAAACTTACAATTTCTAAAAATATAGAATCTTTAATACGAAGCTTTTCAGGGGCCCAGTGGGGAATGGATAACGCGCCCTGACTAGACGGGAGATTCAGGTTGAATCCGGCTGGTTTTGCCGGGGGGTGTTCTTTTTTTTTTAAATTTTTTAACAAAATTTCGAATTAAAAACTTACAATTTTTTCTAAAATATAGAATTTTAAAAACTATAGTTTTTAAATTGCATGGGCCAGTGCGCAAGGATAACGTAAAGGGGCCTAAACGGGGGGGGGGTTTTTTTTTTTTTTAAAAACCCTTAAAAACCCAAATTTCTCCAAAAATATAGAATTTTAAATACGATAGCTTTTTTTTGCAGGGCCAGGGGGGAAAGGAAACCGCCTGACTACGATCGGGAAATTTTAGGTTAATTGGGCTGGTTTCTTGTTCGGGGTGTTTTTCATTTTAATTTTAACAAAATTCAGTTTTTAAAAATTACAATTTCTCAAAATATAGAATTTTAAAAATTTATAGTTTTTTACTTGCATGGGCCAGTGGGGAATGGATAACGCGTCTGACTACGGATCAGGAATTCAGGTTCGAATCCCGGCTTCTTTGTTTGGTGGGTTTTTCTTTTTAATTTTAAGAAATTAGAATTAAAACAAATTTTTTCTAAAATATAGAATTTTTTAAAACGTATAGTTTTTTACTTGATGGGCCAGTCCCCTAACCCTGTAGGGATCAGGAATTCCGGGGAACCCTGGCGGGCCTGGTTTGGTGGGGTTCTTTTTTAATTTTAAGAGTTTCCGAATTTAAAATTTAAAATTTTTTAAAAATATAGAATCTTTAAAACTATATTTATTGAGGGCGGGCAAGGAAACGCGCCTGACTCGGATCGGGAGTTCCCAGGTTCAATCCTGGCTGGCTTGCTTCGGTGGGTTTTTTTTTTTAATTTTTTAAGAAATTCAGAATTTAAACTTACAATTTTCTAAAAAAATAAAATTTTTTAAAAATATAGCTTTTATTGCAGGGGCCAGTAAAGGAAAGCGCCTGACTACGGATCGAGTTTCCCGGTTCAAATCCGGGCTGGCTCGGGTTCGGTGGGTTTCTTTTTTTTAATTTTAAGGATTCAAAATTTTAAAAAACTTATTTTTCCTAAAAATATAGAATCTTAAAAACTTATAGCTTTAATTGCAGGGCCAGTGGCGAAACGGAAAGCGCCTGACTGAAAATTTAAAATTGGCTTTTCTTTCCTTTTTAAAAAAAAAAAATTTAAAAAATTTTCAAAAAAAAAAAACTATAGCTTTACTTGATGGGCCAGTGGCGAAATGGATAACGCCCGACTGGATCAGGACCCGGGTTTCAACCCTGGCTGGCTGGGTTCGTGGGGTTCTTATTTTAATTTTAACAAATTAAAATTTTAAAAACTTACAATTTCTCCTAAAATATAGAATTTTAAAACTATAGTTTTTTATTGCATGGGCCAGTGGGCAAGGATAACGCGCCTGACTACGGATCGGGAGATTCAGGTTAAATTTCGGGCTGGTTTCGCTTCGGTGGTGTTTTTCTTTTTAAAATTTTTAACGAAATTCAGAATTTAAAACTTACAATTTCTACTAAAAATATAGAATTTTTAAATACATATAGCTTTTTTGCATGGGCCAGTGGCGCAATGGATAACGCGCCTGACTAGGGATCAGAGATCGGTCGAATCCTGGCTTTTTGGGTGTTTTGGTGGGTTTTCATTTTTAATTTTTAACGAAATTCAGAATTAAAACATAAAATTTTTCCCCAAAAAAATATAGAATTTTAAAACATAGCTTTTATTGCATGGGATGGAAAGGATAAGCCCTGACTAGGGGATCGGAGTTCGGGTTTTGAATCCTGGTTTCTGCTTCCGGGGGGTTCTTATTTTTAATTTTAACAAAATTTCGGAATTTTAAAAATTTAAAACAATTTCTCTAAAATATAGAATTTTAAATACTATAGCTTTATTTTGCATGGGCCAGTGGGCAATGGATAACGCGCCCTGACTACGGATCAGGAGTTTCGGTTCAACCCCCGGCTGGTTTCCGGGTTTGGTGGGTTTTTATTTTAATTTTTTAACAAAATTCATTTTTTTAAAAACTTACAATTTTTTAAAAATATAGAATTTTTAAAACTATAGCTTTTATTGCATGGGCCAGTGGCAAGGATAACGGCCTGACTACGGATCAGGAGATTCAGGTTCGAATCCTGGCTGGCTCGGTCTGGTGGGTGTTATTCATTTTAATTTTAACGAATTCAGAACTTAAAACATACAATTTTCTAAAAATATAGAATTTTAAAACGTATAGCTTTTACTTGCATGGGCCAGTGGCGCAACGGAATAACGCGCCTGACTACGGATCGGGAGTTTCCCAGGTTCGAATCTTCTGGCTGGTGCTTCGGTGGGTGTTCTTCTTTTAATTTTAACGAGATTGAATTAAAATTTAAAATTTTCTCTAAAAATATAGAATCTTTAAAAACGTATAGCTTTTACTTGCAATGGCCAGTGGCGCAATGGATAACGCACCTGACTACGGATCAGGAGATTAAGGTGGGAATCCTGGCTGCCTGGTGTTCGGTGTCTTCTTTAATTTTTAACGAGATTCAGAATTTAAAACTTACAATTTCTCTAAAAATATAGAATTTTAAATACGTATAGCTTTTACTTGCATGGGCCAGTGGGCAATGGATAACGCGCCTGACTACGGATCAGGAGATTCTAGGTTCGAATTCTGGCTGGCTTCTTGCTTCGGTGGTGTTCTTCATTTTTAATTTTTAACGAAATTCAGAATTTAAAACTTACAATTATTTCTCCTTAAAATATAGAATATTTAAATACCTATAGCTTTTACTTGCATGGGCCAGTGGCGCAATGGATAACGCGCCTGACTACGGATCAGGAGATTCAGGTTCGAATCCTGGCTGGCTCGGCGTTTCGGTGGGTGTTCTTTTTTAATTTTTTAACGAATTAGAATTAAAACATACAATTTTCTAAAATATAGAATCTTTAAAAACGTATAGCTTTTACTTGCATGGGCCAGTGGCGCAAAGGATAACGCGCCTGACTACGGATCAGGAGATTCCAGGTTCGAATCCTGGCTGGCTCGGTGCTTCGGGGTGTTCTTCATTTTTAAATTTTAACGAGATTCAGAATTTAAAACTACAATTTCTCCTAAAATATAGAATCTTTAAAACGTAAAAGCTTTATTTGATGGCCAGTGGCGCAACGGATAACGGCCTGACTACGATCGGGAGATTCAGGTTGAATCCGGCTGGCTTCGGCTTGGTGGTGTTCATTTTTAATTTTTAACGAAATTCAGAATTTAAAACTTACATTTCTAAAAATATAGAATTTTTAAATACATATAGCTTGTAATTGCATGGGCCAGTGGCGCAATGGATAACGCGCCTGACTACGGATCAGGTGATTCCAGGTTCGAATCTTGGCTGGCTCGGTGCTTCGGTGGGTGTTCTTCATTTTTAATTTTTAACGAAATTTAGAATTTAAAACTTACAATTTCTCCTAAAAATATAGAATCTTTAAATACGTATAGCTTTTACTTGCATGGGCCAGTGGCGCAATGGATAACGCGCCTGACTACGGATCAGGAGATTCCAGGTTCGAATCCTGGCTGGCTCGTGCTTCGGTGGGTGTTCTTCATTTTTAATTTTTAACGAGATTCAGAATTTAAAACTTACAATTTCTCTAAAAATATAGAATTTTTAAAACGTATAGCTTTTACTTGCATGGGCCAGTGGCGCAATGGATAACGCGTCTGACTACGGATCAGGAGATTCTAGGTTCGAATTCTGGCTGGCTTCTTGCTTCGGTGGATGTTATTCATTTTAATTTTAACGAAATTGTACTTAAAACTTACAATTTAAAAATATAGAATTTTTAAAAACGTATAGCTTTTACTTGCATGGGCCAGTGGCGCAACGGATAACGCGCCTGACTACGGATCAGGAGATTCCAGGTTCGAATCCTGGCTGGCTCGGTGCTTCGGTGGGTGTTCTTCATTTTTAAATTTTAACGAGATTCAGAATTTAAAACTTACAATTTCTCCTAAAAATATAGAATCTTTAAAAACGTATAGCTTTTACTTGCATGGGCCAGTGGCGCAACGGATAACGCGCCTGACTACGGATCAGGAGATTCCAGGTTCGAATCCTGGCTTGCTCGGTGCTTCGGTGGGTGTTCTTCATTTTTAATTTTTAACGATATTTAGAATTAAAAACTTACAATTTTTCTCCTAAAATTATAGAATCTTAAAATACGTATAGCTTTTACTTGCATGGGCCAGTGGGGCAATGGATAACGCGTCTGACTACGGATCAGGAGATTCTAGGTTCGAATTCTGGCTGGCTTCTTGCTTCGGTGGATGTTCTTCATTTTAACGAAATTCAGAATTTAAAACTTACAATTTAAAAATATAGAATTTTTAAATACATATAGCTTTTACTTGCATGGGCCAGTGGCGCAATGGATAACGCGCCTGACTACGGATCAGGAGATTCAAGGTTCGAATCCTGGCTGGCTCGGTGCTTTGGTGGGTTTTCATTTTTAATTTTTAACGAAATTCAGAACTTAAAACATACAATTTTTCTAAAAATATAGAATCTTTAAAAACGTATAGCTTTTACTTGCATGGGCCAGTATGGATAACGCACCTGACTACGGATCAGGAGATTCCAGGTTCGAATCCTGGCTGTCTCGGTGCTTCGGCGGGTGTTCTTCATTTTAATTTTAACGAGATTCAGAATTTAAAACTTACAATTTCTCCTAAAAATATAGAATCTTTAAATACGTATAGCGTTACCTGCATTAGTACAGGGGCAATGGATAACGCGCCTGACACGGATCAGGAGATTCTAGGTTCGAATTCTGGCTGGCTTTGCTTCGGTGGATGTTCTTCATTTTTAATTTTAACGAAATTCAGAATTTAAAACTTGCTAAATTCTCTTAAAAATATAGAATTTTTAAATACGTATAGCTTTTTACTTCTGCATGGGCTAGTGTATAATGGATAACGCGCCGCCTGACTACGGATCATCAGGAGATTCAAGGTTCGAATCCTGGCTGGCTCGGTGCTTTGGTGGGTTTTCATTTTTAATTTTTAACGAAATTCAGAACTTAAAACATACAATTTTTCAAAAATATAGAATCTTTAAAAACGTATAGCTTTTGCTTGCACGGGCCAGTGGCGCAAACGGATAACGCGCGCCTGATTACGGATCAGCAGATTCCAGGTTCGAAACTTGCCTTTACCTGAAAAGTTTGGTAGGCGTTCTTCTATTTTAAATTTTAACGAGATCCAGAATTTAAAACCTACACCTCCTAAAAATATAGAATCTTTAAAACGTATAGCTTTTACTTGCATGGCCAGTGGCGCAATGGATAACGCGTCTGACTACGGATCAGGAGATTCTAGGTTCGAATTCTGGCTGGCTTCTTGCTTCGGTGGATGTTCTTCATTTTTAATTTTTAACGAAATTCAGAATTTAAAACTTACAATTTCTCTAAAAATATAGAATCTTTAAAAACGTATAGCTTTTACTTGCATGGCCAGTGGCGCAACGGATAACGCGCCTGACTACGGATCAGGAGATTCCAGGTTCGAATCCTGGCTGGCTCGGTGCTTTCGTGGGTGTTCATTTTTAATTTTTAACGAAATTCAGAACTTAAAACATACAATTTTTCTAAAAATATAGAATCTTTAAAAACGTATAGCTTTTACTTGCATGGGCCAGTTGCGCAACGGATAACGCGCCTGACTACGGATCAGGAGATTCCAGGTTCGAATCCTGGCTGGCTCAGACCTGAGTGGGCCCCGTATCAAAATTTCTGACACACCCTTTTGGGGGCCCCCTAATATTTTAGCAATTTTTCCCTCCTATGTGTTGGGTCTCCTGTAGCTTCAGGACTCCGTATCATTGATACTACTGATACGGCGATAGCTAAGCCCCTGTTTATAATCATTCCAAATTCCATAGTTCCACCGGCCATAATCACACCGGTGTGATCATGGGCCTTAGAACGGGGAAAGCGCAATCTCACATATGATACCGTGTTCCCTGAAGTGATCACATATATATGATAATGGTCCTGAAGGGATTAACTCGAAACGATTTCCCTTCTGGATAAGGAAGATATTGAAACTGACCCGGCACTTAGTGAAATGTTTGAGAAAGTTTCTGTATTATTGAATTGTGTGTGTGTGTGTGTGTACTATATACTGTGTATCATCGAAAGAATTCGGTGCAGTAGATGATAATAATGTAAATATACAACCAATTATGGGGCAGACAAAAATATGTTAGTTTGTTCAAAGCTCAAAAAATATCATTGATGCAGATTTCGTCGATAAAAAGGAAGTGAATAATGCAGCTCCAGTTCCCAAGTCATCCGAAATGAGGAACATCCTTCAAAGTATGAGCAGTTACTTTGACGCATCTTCCAATGGTGAAATGAATAACAAAATGGATGACATCGAACACTGCGTTGACTGATTGATTGATTGAATATTAACGTCGCACTGTTCAGCTACACGAAGGCTTTTGGTGACGGACCACGTAATTTTGAACCATAGTCAAGTGTGTGACGTGGACAACACCTGAGCTGGCACCCCCTCTCCTAACTACCACATCACACGAACGGGAGGACGTTTCAGCTCTCGACAGATTTAACGTGCATCGCGCTGCCCTACACGGCGGGTCTTTAGTGGTACTGGGCTCGAACTCGTGACAAGGCAAGCCACGCGGTCCGATACCTATACCACTCGGCTACCACGGCCTCAATATGTTGACAATTTGATGCTAAAAAAGACAATGCAAAGAAAAATACCAGATTATTTTCCAAGAAGTGAATAAATATTTTGTTTTTCAAAAAACTTGAAAATTTTGTATTAAATTTCCCCAAGTTCGTGAGAATGCTTTTGTTTCATTGATTTTTATTAAACACATTCATAAACAATTTTGTTGAACATGTGAGGGATTAGACCCTCTCTCTTGCCCGCCTAGATATGTGGGAGGAAAGAAAGAAACACTAGTCATAATCAACAACTATCTATTTATTGATCTCATTAAAAATAGCAACTCTAATTCAATAATTTTTTCAACCTGAAGAAATATTCTCAATATGAACAAAATGAGGATAAGTAGCAAGATACACGAATTATTAGGAGACTATCAACATCGGTCCTCTCTTTAAAGGATCACAAATCTATTCTCCCACTTAATCTAATACTAATTCAACTATAGTGATCAATCGTCCCTTTAAATTTTCCTCTATTAAATATCAAATATACTGCTATGACCCAAAAAACTCCCGAGGCACCTGGGGAGAGCCGAGGCTGTTGCCCGCTTTCGCCTAACGCGGGCCGCATTTGGCCCACCAGTACGTAAGTTACGGCCCACCGACTCTTTTTAAAAAATGTTTAAATATCAAGTTTGTAATTTTTTATTTTGAAATTTATTGTGAGGGTTTATATAAAATTATATATATATATAAATTATTTTTTTAAAATTTTTTTTTATAAAATAAAATTTCCTTTTTGTAACAGAAATGTCCTTTAGATTAAAATAGATTTATATTTTTTCAAGAAAATACTGACGAAAAGAATAATTTTAGCGAAAACCGCTAACGAATCAACCCATTTTTCCGTTTTTTATAATCATTTGAAATTTCGGACCCTAAACTTCAATGGCACCTATCTCCTTCGTAAAACGTTTGGTGACGGCGGTAGCCGAGTGGTATAGGTATCGGATCGTGGCTTGCCTTGTCACGCGTTCGTCCACGGCCCACGGCTTCAAAATACGAGGTACCTTACCAAAAAACGGTATTACCCTCTCATCATAATTAATAAGAAAAAAGAGAATAATTAATTGAAAGTTCCATAAAATTTAAAAGATGCTATCAAAATTATTAACAACAGCTCTCAGAGCCGTTCTCTAAAAGAAAGCTTCTCACCTGTAGCTGAGGACATACTACCGGTGAGAGAGCAAGAAACCATTTAATTGGCAAGTATGGAACATATTTAATGAGGCACCTTCCCGGAGGGAGGTGGCAGAAATCTGTGCTCTTCTCTAATTCGTCCTTTCTTTATGCGGAACGAAATCAGAAAGTAGACACAGAATTTGGAAGATAAAAAGATAAAATGGAGAATAAAAGCAATTAATGCCGTGGTGCTCGTGGTACATGATGTTAAAAAAAAGGGGAATGATAAACACTGCTGAATCGTGTAGTGATGACAGGAGAGAGTGTCGCTGAACAGTGAACGAAAAGAGAAGGCGTTGACACAGAAAGTGTCCATAATGTGACGCCATCTGCTGGGAAATGAGCAAAATAAAAGATGATCCACAAAAGATGTGGAAAAAGGAGAACAATTGACATGGAATTAAACTACCACGCAAGACCGATTCAGAAGAATATGGGTTTAAGTCGAAGTAATTTAATGGAGGTGTGAAATCTTGCACAAAATGACGAAAGCTAAAATTAGGGATTATTTTTTTTATTTATTTTTTTTTAAATAAATATAAATAAGAAAATAAAAATTTTGAAAAGAGTTTCCAAAGACTATATTCAGGATCTCCGAAGTCTTTTAAGGACTGGGAAATGCTGATATATGTGGTGAAGAGCAGCTCTAGGTCTTTTTGCAGAGCTTGGGACCGAGTTATCATAGGCAGGGATGACTCGGATAGATTGGTTAGGAATTTGAGGTAATCTATCAAAAATTTTTGACTGATTTTTAATGAAATCAAGAATTGGATCAATTTTTGTAACGCGTTCGAGCCCAGTACCACTAAAGACCCGCCGTGTAGGGAAGCGATGCACGTTAAATCTGTCGAGAGCTGAAGCGTTCTCCCGTTGGTGTGGTGTGATAGCTAGGAGAGAGGGTGCCAGCTCAGGTGTCGCCCACGTCACTTGACCATGGTTCAGAATTACGTGGTCCGTCGTCAAAAGCCCTCGTGTAGCTGAACAGTGCGACGTTAATATTCACTCACTCACACAGATAATCTTCCCGGTTATTCCATTTCAAATAACAGACAGCCTTCTGTCTTTTGACGTCAGAAAAAAGGGAAGGGGAAAAAACATAATAAAAACACAACGACGGTCAGAAAGTATCTGAAATGATTACTGGGTTAATAAAGTCTGATAATACATATCATCACATAATTCACGAAATAACCTAGTACCTATCAAACGCATTGAGAAATTTAACGAATAATTAATCTGGATGAAAACGATTTTACTCGAAGAATTAAAGAAAACTGAAGGGAAAAAAAATATTAAGGCAAAGAAAAAAAAAAGTATGAATAATAAAAGTTTTTAAATCGCTTATACTGAATTCATCAATCCCCCCCTCTCGTAACAAAACCATTCTAGAATTGCAGCATTGTAATGAAGAGTGAAAAATAAAATGCCCTTTTAGAATGTAATCTGTAAAGAAAAAACTGAGACATAAATATATACATCCACATTTAAAGGTAAATATTATATACAATGTCTGATTCAACTGAATCTGAAACAGAAGTTTAGGAACTACATTGATTTCGAAAAAGGTTTCCAGAACAAAACACAATATTCTTTTATATTTGAACAAAGTAGTAGGCATGATTACAAACATAGCTCACTTTTTTAAAATTAAATTGTTTTAAAATAAAAAAATCGCAATAACCTAAAAAAATGCAAAAAATGATTTTATATAAATTTAAATCAAATAACATTCATGTAATTAATAGATGAGAAAAAGTCTTGGCACAATCGAAATGAAAAAAAATAAATATTCTTAGAAGGCCGACTGTGTGCAATTATTCATGAGGCTAGAAAAAAGCATGATGTAATGCTTAAAACAATAATGTCGTCAATAAACGTAAATATCGCATTACATACTCAACTAAAATAGTACTTAAGGCTCTCATCTGGTGGCCATTTTGAATTCGTTAATCATGTTAATCTATACTTCTACTCTACATATGATACAATAAATGATACATGAATATAAAGAGAAATTTACCAAGTTTTTTGCTTCACCAACGATCAACAGCACATCAAGATCACTGTGATTGAAATCCAAACATGACGACAG